CCCTAAAGTACATTGCATGCAGAATTTGGCCTGGAGAGAAGAGTAAAAGGACATTAATTTACTTAAGCTATGATTACACTTACAGCAATGTTTTGTTTCTCATTTGACTGAGAACAAAAGGAGAAAAGTGCAACAAGTAGGACCACCAAAAAGAGACTGTGGTGATGAGTACAAAGAAATTGTAAGCTTTTTGGGTTCTTTTGTTGGTAGGGTTATTTTTGGGGTTGGGGTATCCACTGTCCCATCTCCTGCATCTCACTACTGTGTGTGGTGAGCTCATTGGCCAAGCAAATTGGGGGCAGGCTTGGAACCATATAAAAGTTGCAACTGGTGTATGTCACATGGCCTTTGATAAGGACATGAGAAGAGGAGTAATTAAAACAATGAATAGAAAACAAAAAAAAGAATACTTTCTTAAATTCAAAACACCAAGTGGGGAGCTCATCCAGATGAGCATGGCATGGCATGCCATGCCATGGGTGGGGAATGAGATGGGATGGGGTGTGTGATGGGTTTACACGATCATAGATCAGGGAAAAGGATGATAATGTAGTTTGAAGGGAGTGTGAGCTAAAATATGCTCACATTTAGGCAATAAATATATGTCTTTGATCAGTTTGAATTAAGAGGTGATCGATCATCTTTCGGAAACTGAGTTGCATGAATCGAGACGGGCATGCAAAACTTGTCGACCTTTATGGAGCCGCCTGCTTTAAAAGTCGCGCCCACGGTGGCGTTCCTTTCTCCTCGGGCTGCTGTCGTTTGTTGTTGTGCTGCAGTGCAGGGTGCAGTCCACAACTCCGCCGATCATCAAATAATCATATAATAATATGTATATAATATTGTTATTATCATGATGTTGTTGACCAATCGACATGATTTGACTTAATCATAAAGACATATAAGTTGGTCAGGGAGTCTACCAGGGGTCATGAGAGCAGGTTGGAGAGAGAAATAGATCTGATCAACATGATCCTGAAATTATTTGTTATTTGTTTGTCATAGATAAATTTAGTATTATCTCCGGTCGCGTCTTAATCTCGTCAAGATCCCTGCATAAGCGATCAACGTTAGAGGGATATTTTCGACCTGATCCCTCTTATGGTAAAATTAGTTCAAAGGTGAAAAATAATTATATTTTCACTTTTATATTTTGGGGACTAACTTTTATATCTAAACGGTCGATAAAGTAAGATTGACAATTGATGGGCACACTTCTCTATGGGTGGTGTTAGGAAATGTCAATTATAGAAGTGTTGTTTGTAATGTTGGAGTCCCTTTGGGATAAATAGGAAAGGTCCCCATGTGTCTAAAAAGAAGGAAATGGGGAATTAGGTTATGTTGCCTAGGATTAATACCCTCTACAGTTAAGCATGTAAGTCTTCCTAAAATTAGAGTAATAGGTCGCTTGTGATAGATGACCCAAAAAGGGAGAGAACAGTTTCGCTCTTAAGGATTAATATAACTTGTAACTAGCTCATGTGGCTCTCCTAGAGATAAGGTGGGCAAGGGTCGAATGATCATGCTCTTGATGATGAAGACTTTAAATAAGAGGTATGGGTTTTTCCGCTCATGTTATCGTCGAGGTGATAATCCGCAGTTGGATAAGTCAACAGTGTAATGCTTATGTCATTAAATATATATATATATATATATATATATATATATATATATACATATATGTATATATATACATATGTATATATATATATATGTATGTATATATATATA